TTTTTTTTTTTTTTGTAGTTTGACTTTAGCAAGAACATTCTCCCCAAAGTTATTAGTAATTGCCTCAATTTGGAATTACTTTTTATCGAACTCGTCCAGTCATTCAAGTCAGCCCTGGATTGCGAAAAATAGCAGACCTGGTTCTTTTTGTTTTCCATTTTTTTTTTCCTTATTGCAAATTCTTTTTAACTACAGGAATGTGAACAAATACTTGTTGGCTTCTTTTTGCACAGAACGGATGGCATTGGGCTCTCGGCACCCCAAGTTGGGATTAATGTCGAGCTAATGGTCTTCAATCCAGTCGGTGAACGTGGTGAAGGAGAGGAGATTGTTCTCGTAAATCCACAAATCAAGAGATTTTCCAGAAATATTGTGCCTTTTGACGAGGGTTGTTTATCCTTCCCTGGAATATACGGTGATGTTGAGGTGCATCATAAAATTAATTTGCTTTCAATATTCACAAATTTACTGCTTGGTTTGAATCTTTTGTGTATATGTGTTTGCGCTTGTCGAGCAAAACTTGTACTATTTGTTATGAGAGAAATACAATTCCTCCACTAAATATTTAATACGTACGAAATTTAAGTGTAACCAAGACATTTAGGAAGCCTTGTCCAGCTCGAGGTTGATCTTCATTACTGATTAACAATTGTTTCCTTTTATCTACTCTGTAGAGACCAGATGCATTGCAGGTTGATGCACAGGATATAACTGGTGCAAGGTTTGAAGTTAACTTGACCGGACTTCCTGCACGGGTGTTTCAACACGAATATGATCATCTGCAGGTTATCATTCGGATTTGACATTTTTTTGTTAACAAAAAGCGAAAGCTTATAATGCCCTTGCTAACATATCGGGTTTACAACATTAACATATTGTAGATTACTATTTGTTAATCTTGAGAAGGCCTACTAAAGTAATGGCGTGAACTTTGCAATTTATGCGTTATGATCATAATGTTCAAAATTACCGGGCTGCATATGCTAATTTGGTTTTAAATGGTAGTTCTGAATGTAATCTAGATTAAAATGTTTTATGGTTAACCACAATTGCTCCCCTTTAGTTGAGTCTAATTGTAAAGTGTTTCCATCTTATAGCATGCCTTTGATATTTGTTCGTCTTCATACAAATTGCATCATTGTAAGGGCTAGTGTGTATTTGTGAGGTTAATAAACACCTAGATGGTGTTTCTAACACTTTAAAAGGGGGTGTTTCCAATTTGGAAGATGACTTTGGTTGTTGGTTTATTTATTACATATTAGGATAAGCCGAAAGCATTGTCACAATATCTCTAATATATTTTGTAAAGTTGTTCAGATTGGAGGTTCAACTCAAATGCTTTCATCATTCATATTCGCCTAGTTAATATTGCAGGGAATTTTGTTTTTTGACCGAATGAGTGATGAAGTCCTCCAAACTGTTCGTGCAGAGTTAGAGGCAAGTGATTGTTACAATTGGCACATAAGGAAATAGTGAAATTAGTTATCTTAGTTACATATCGTCTTAAGTAGATTGCTCGAATATTCCTCCTCAACAGGCCTTGGAAAAGAAATATGAGGAGACGACTGGATTGCCAAGTCCTGAAAGAATTGACAAGCGAAGAAGAAAGAAGAAAGCTGTTGGGTTTGGAAAACCATGATTTACATATGTATACTATCCCACACTCAAATTTGAATAGCAGTCAACTGGTTTATACTCCCAACACGGATTAGAGGCTGGAAATCAATCCCTTGCAGTCTTCCCCTGAACCGTTGCATGTATAAATTTTTCATTTTCCTTTTGATGAACTACCAGTTTTGCAATTGTGTTGGTCTCAATGGTGTCATTTTGTCGTTCATTTTATGAGAAATCTGTAATGATACATGTGGCGCTTAATTATGGTGCTATGATTGATACTTTAAGATGTTTTTATTTTTATTTTATGCACTCTTGGTCGAAATTAGGGTTGGCGGAGCCTGTGCGCCTATATTGCACGTGTGGAGGAGACGCCACGCCTAGTAGAAAGGGGCAAATTCGATCCTACCCATGTGGGCACTGCCCACATGGGGTTTTTTACCATTGATTTACACATAAACACACACACACACCCACATGGGTGTGTGTGAAATCAATGGTAAAAAACCCATGTGGGCAGTGCCCACATGGGTAGGGTCGAATTTTCTGTAGAAAGGTTTGCAGAAAGGCAGTCCACTCAAGTAAAAGCCAGGTAGTGGGGATACCTTTCAGGTAAAAAAAAAACGATGATGTCTTAAAGTGCCAAAACCATTTTTTATTTGAAAAATGTGATGAGATGTTACAAGTTACACAAGATGCTAAGGGTAAAAAAAAAAAAAAGGAAAATTAGCTTGTATATGTCACGGTTCATGAAATGCTTGGAATTTGGATATAAGATTTCTTCGTTTTGTTTGGATAAAAGGATTGTTTAGTTAACAAGGGTTAATTTTGAAAAAAAAAGTTGTATTATTAGTTGTTAGTAGAATGTTTAGTTTATATTGAAATAATATTTAAAATAAAATAATTAAAATTGATTTGATTTAAAAGTAGGACTACGATAATGTGAAGTGGTGATTTGTTAAAATTATGTGAGTTGATGAATAGTGAATTAAATTTGATGTGATGTATAAGAATAGTTCGATTAATAATTATATTGCTAATATTGAGGATAATGAAGTTGAATTAAAATTTAGGTAAGAAATGGTTGAATTAAAATATTTAGATTTTTTGTATACAAACAAACACTAAGGTATTGTTTATGGAAATATCTATTTTGATTTCGAATAATTTATATTTTCAATTCAGAATTAACAAATTGTTGGAGAAAATGATTAAAAAAATAGACTTGTGGATTGGCTTTTGCGCGTTGCGCCTTGTCAAAATTGGTTTCAGCTTTACTTTTATAGCATTTTAAGTTCAACTTGGTAAAAGTTTTAGTTTCCCTACTCCATGCAATTAAAAATTTTATGTGCATTTTGTTATGGTTGCTAATATAGAATACCAGACCCTAGTCGAACAAACCTAATAAATCGTCGACCAACCTAAGTGAACCGACCGGTCAAATAGGGCAGCAAGAATGTCGACGATTGTCGAACATCACTAGCTCAGGACCAGAAGTCTTCAGGTCGAAAACTGTGCGAAGGGTACAAAGGGGCAATGACATGTCAAGTTAGGGCCCTCAGATGGCCTGTTGGAAACTCGACCTGTAGGTATGGATGATCATTCGATCGACACACATGATTTCAGAACAGGCAACGTTCTACCTCAGCAGACTTCGAACTGGTCGCACCATTAGGCAGTCTAATAAGAGACTAAAGGATAGTAAGGAATCTTAAGGAGTTAAGCCGCACGTGGATGGGGCCATGTGGCCTAACAGAATTGGACAGTTCGGGAAGTTTGGGCAGCGTAGCCGGGCAGTCTTCGACAATAAGGTATCATCTCCCTAATAAAGAAGTTAGGTATACTCATTATCATATTAAATTATCTATTATTCCATAAACTATTTTCTAGACTTCATCTTCTACAAGTTAGGCACCTCTGTCGATCTCCGACAGTCTTCCGTCGCCGAGTTCATCGCAGCAGTCCAACGCCGCCAACGAGGAGCTTTGTCATTCGTTCGTTTGTCGAGGTTTCGAGTCCTGAGTTCCGTCGATTCCGTTCGTCCGACCCGTTTTCATATGGCTAACCTTTTTGAACCTCCTTATTATATTATTCGTACTCGTGATTAATCGTCAGATTATTTCATGCTCGTTAAATCGTTATTCGTTAAATGATCGGTTTACGTATCAGATCGTATATGTTTCGTTTGTTCGTTAGGTGTCTCATCAATTTACGTGGACTTCTCAGAACTCTCGTTTATTGCAAATATCGAACCCCTTAAGTTGCTGTGATTACTCGTGAATTTCGGAATCTCGTTTGGATATTTGAGCCGTATGGTGTTGTTTTGTTTTCTATCCAAAACTCGGTTTTTTTTT